AGGTCTACTAATACTCGAGTATAGTACTAGTAGTATAAGTATAGTTCAAGTATAGAAAAAGGATTCTAGCTCTAAAAGCATTACTAATAAAATACGATGAGTATACTATTATATCTAAAGTATACGAGTAGATAAATTAATTAGATAAATTAAATGAATGAATTAGATGAATTAAATAAGTTTTTTTTCAGTAATCAGATTTATAAATAATAGTCTTTCGATTTTCTTCTTTATAGTTAAAAGTTATTACTCGAGTACGATAGTTCAGTTAGACTTTGTATATTTTATATCTAAAGAGAGAAATTAGAATTTTAGTTATTAAACTTATGAATTTGCTTCTACTTGAGTAGTATCTATCTAATAGTCTATATTAAGGCAATACGAGTAGAAGCGATAGAAATATTAGCAATAGATAGCGAATAATCTCCACGACTTATCAAGCTACCCCCAGAAACTAACCTTTCTGTTCCTCTCATGCTTTGTTATCTGATTATAGCGCATAGCGCATCATGCCGTGAATCATTTTTATAAGAAAAGAAGTCTGCGAATATAATCACGAATGAAATCTAACTAATCTTTAGAGATGCTTCAAAAGCGCAGAGATTGATGATTTTGAATTTGTCTATGAAGATAAGTGATGATGGATGTCTGATGAACAGCTATTACAGGGATGGAGAAGCTGTGGCTGGAGTTGGAGCTAGAATTGGAGCTGGAGCGGGGGGTTGGGCTTAGGGGAAACTAAACATGAAGAGGAGGTGACGTATGCATATGGAGATTTTGGGTTTTTGAATCCGACGACGAGGAGGGAGGTGGTTGAGTGGGTGAGTGGGTGAAAATAAGGAGAGGAGAGGGTGGAGGTGGGTGGTATGGGTATGGGAATGGGAATGGGAATGGCAATGGGAATGGGATTGGAAATGGGAATGGGAATGGGAATGGGAAGAAAGTAGAAATCGCGGGTGAAGGATCTGATACGCAGTGAAGGAGAGATAATGGAGATAGAGATAGAGATAGGAAAGAATTGGATGTTAAAAAATGGCGATCGAGGGATAATTGTAAAGGTTCGTATGATTTATTATCTTTCACGCTGCCCTCAAAATATATTGCACAGAATAGAGACATCACATCACATCACATCACATCAAATCGCATCTCATTCATCTATGTCCAGCTCTCATTATCAACTCTAATTACACTCTGATGAGTAACCCCTCGGTTTCCTCGCCAGCACCTCACAACTCCTCTCCACAACCATCACAACTATTATCTACACCTTCTCCATTTTCCTTATCTCCCCTCCATTTCCCATCTCCAACATAACCTCTCTCCCCCATTTCCCATTTCCCATTTCCCATTTCCCATCTCACCCCCATTTCCACTCCCCTCACCACTCTCCTCTCTCTTCCTATCTCCCCCTTATACCCAAAATCTCTTCTACTTCTACCTCTTCCACTAGCACCCCCAAATCATCAACGACTTCAATTTATATTATATTTTCTCCGGTATACAAATACTAATACTATTTATTCATATTACTCGAGTAGAAACGCAGGAGAAATGGTATAGACCTGCTGAGGATATAAGGATGGTATGCGGTATTGGGGGTTGGAATTTGGAATGCGGTGGGGGAGTGGGGGAGTGGGAGTGGGAGTGGGAGTGGGATGGGGAGGGGGATGGGGTACGGGGATTGGTGAAGATGGGGAGGGGGATAGGGTACGGGGATTGGTGAAAATGGGGATGGGAGATGATTGCGGTTTATGAGGGGGAAGGGAGCTTGGCGATATTTTGGGGGGAGTGGAGTGGAGTGGAGTGTGTGTTTTTCATGATAAGGAGTGGAATACAATGATACATATAAATATTTGGAGAATTTTCCGGTAGAGGTGCATATGGAGGTAAAGAGTGGGGGGGAAAAAAAGGAGAGAAAATAAAAACTATATTGGACGTGTACATGAGAACTAAGTATATAGTGCAAACAGAATAACCTGCGAACTCAAAGGGCGGGCTATAGGGAAAAGCTTGCCAGTGCAATTAGATACCTATATAAGAAGCTCAACTATTCGGGTAATACAGACAGACAGACAGGTATATAAATCTACGAATTTCTCTACTCTACTCCACGATACCTTCATCGAGTTACATTATCGAGTTACATCATCAGAGTGAGTCACAATATAAATACAAATAGACAATTGAACAACCAAACCAAAACCAAAACCAAACCCAAACCCAAAAACAAAAATAAATCTAATAAATAAACCCTACTCTACTATCCCATCCCATACTATCCCATCCCATCCCTTAGCCATCAGTCATCTACTTACTCTCTATCTCCACTCCACTCCAGCAACTGCTCCAAGCGACTAGCCCCTTTATTTCATTACCTACTCTATGAAGATGAATTATAGGAAAAGATATTCAAAGGAGCCCTGGCTGTTTTATACTTTTACTTATACTTGTGGTAAGATTGGTAGTGAGGAAGATTGGAAGATTGGAAGTGATGTTGATGTTGATGTTAATTATATGGCTTGGGTTGGGCTATAATATATATTAGGCATGATGAGGAATTATATCATATCATATCATTGTCAGTTACAATCCATCTATGATTTTCATTTTCATTTTAATTTTCATATCTACATCTACCTAGGTACCTTCTACATAGCTCAAGCTCATCCATCCCCATCCCCATCCACATTCACATCCACGTCCCCATCCAAATCCCCATCAACATCCCCATCCATTTCACCCCCATCCACTCACTCCATCCATCCATCCACCTTAAACATTTTCCCCACAAAAGCTAAACACAAGAAGCATAGAGAGAGAAAGAATTCACACAAAAAGCAAAAAAACCTCAAGGTATCCATCCATTATCATCATAATATCATCATAACCCACCTTTCGTGCCATGAAAACCAAGCATGATATCCATCGAAAGGTAGAGAGAAGCTCATTTGAAATCATCATAAAAATCCCCGACTACTATCATCATCATCATAATATCCCCCCCTTTCCATCCTCATCCTCATCCCTATCTTTCGTCCTCGGTCCCTTTAAATAAGAAGAAATCCATCGATCCCTCCCCCCAATCCCTCCATTCCATCCTTTCATCCAATCCCATATATTCGCTTCAAGTATTATTAATTTTGTTGTGTTAACGTGTTATTGCAACGGGGTATTCTAAGTAATTCGCTTCGATCGCTCGCTCGCTCAACTCGACTTAGGTCACTTAAAAAGTTTCCGACTCGCCACTATGATTGCTAGCAATACTACCAAATGTGTCTAATCCTCTGTTAGCAAATATCCCATGGTACTCTTGTGCAGATGATCACTCACTTCTCTTAACATTCCTCCTAATGACCGTCTCATCCCTGTTCAATTCTCCACTCTTACTAGCCACACTCATACTTCTGGGTCCAGTAGGTTTTCTAGTTGGAACGCCCAATGCACCACTCAATCTCCTCGAAGCAGATTGTGGACTAGCATCTCCATTTTCCTCTTGTAGGTGTTCATTACTCAATGGACTTGGCTTTGTAAGTTTACTACGAATATTGAGTGGTCTCTCAGGAACAATTGGTTCCTTGGGAGGTTTAGCAGGAGCTTGACCAGAAGCCGAACGATCTGAATATCCACCATCGGAAATTGGCGAGAGTCTTCCGTCGGTGTTGGTTGTTGCTTGACTATAACGATGGTTGGCATTTGGCGGTAAACGGTTGATGCTAGTTGATGAACCCCAGTTGATAGATGAAGGGGACATCGGTTGAGGTTGATCAAAGGTTTGAGCTTGTGATTCGAGATGAGTTTGATAGCGGTGTGTGGGACCTTGGCGTGGTTGTGGGTGTTGAAGGTTCAAGGAATTTCGATGAGCCTTGTACTTTGGATCTTCGACACCTGGTAAAAGACTCAAAGGAATTTCTTCATTCAAGAATTGTTGATGAAGTTGTTCTGAAGAAAAACCAGAATGTAATTTATCATCAGATCTAACGAGTGACCTAACGGATTTGGGGGTAGCGGGTGATTCCACACGTGTATGTTCAGCAAATTTATCAGTATCGAGTTCAAGATCGCGATCTTGATCGGTTTGTTCTTGTTCGGTTTGATATGTACCAAATCCAGAATCCGATCTTGGAGGTGAGTTGTATTGCTCAGGTTCTTTGCTGCCACTCTTACGACCACTGCTGCGGAAGCCCTTGAACACTGTTGATGCAGTAGTCTCGGACCAGCGAGATACTTTAGGAATCCAACCAGAAGAGCTACTTGACTTGTGCTTCTTGGTCTTTTCCGTCTCAGTTCGAGGAGTATTCTCATTGCTTAGAGAGCCAGAGGCTTTATGTTGTTGTTGTTGTTGTTGTTGAGGAGGTGTATCCAATGGTAGAGACTCTCCACGCTCAAGGAAAGTCTCACGAGTTGGAGTAAGAAGGTCCGCATCATTCTCAAATTGATTATTAAGAACTTCCTCCTCGTGTGGACTAAGTTCATCCTCATCGTCTTCGGGTACCGTACTAATTCGATGATCTGAAAATTTGCGTCCATCAAACCCACGGTTTGTGTTGCGAGATTGAGAAAGAGAAATAGACAGAGGACCAGATTGACTTCCATGACTTGCAGTGGAAGTACCCGCATTACCCTCCGGTACGTAACCACGATCTTGTTCGGAATTTCCTTCGGGGAAATCGTCAAAGTCCAAGGTGCCATTCTGAAGACCTTGAGCAACCTTAAGACCCTCAACATCACCAAGTAATTGAACAAGCATATCCTCAATCTTTCCAAGATCATTTGTACTCCTCTTGCTTAAACCTTTCAATGCTCTTCGGAAAACATTTCTTCGCTTGGTAGGAAGATCTTCATACATCTCGGCTGATCTGACTGAACGAGGTGCGCTTTGTGGCAGAGGTCGTGGTCCATTGATGACTTTTTGAACCGACTTCTCGGTATTACCTTGTACTTCGGTGATGATGACATCTTCGGTGTCGGCAAGTAATCTCTTCATATCCTCGAAAGAGTTTCTCATTTCGGCAGCGGCTCGAACAAGGGTGACGAGAATTTCGGTGTCACGAGCGCTACGTTGAGCATCACGAACGGTGAGATGATCCATTAAAGCAACAATATCCTTCGATTGAATACGGTCAATACCATTGCCTGTAGAACTGTCATATAACGGTGATCCCATCCCTTGTGACATGCCACTAAGGTGTCGAGAGTGATTGGAAGGATAGAATTGGTCGCCATTCAATGCGTCAGCTGCACTTCCCAATTCTTTATCCATGAAATCGACACCCTTTCCTTTGTTGAAATGCTGCTCTGGAGTTTGAGCACCAGCAGAGCGAGCGTTAGGAGCTGATGAGATGTAACCCTCATCTTTGGGTAAGCCGCTTGGACTGCCAGCATACAGCTTATCATTGTATGCACGATTAGCGTTTTGGAATCCAGCTTGATTCAAGAGTTCTCGATCGAGGCCAGTACCATTGCCAAGAGTAGCAATTGGGCTGGTATCTTCATATGGATTTGTGATGAGAGTATCACGCTTTCGCTCTCCGGAAGTCCTTCCCCACTCTTCATCATGATCGCCACTAACTTCTCTATTATGTCCAACCAGAGCAGCGCCAGCGCCTGCACCAGTAGCAGCACCGATCAATGTAGCTTCAGCTTCATGAAGAGCAGAAGCAGACTCGGAGCTTTGCGTGCGCTTCGTTTGTGGTGGAGTAGCTTGATTTGGCCAGTGATCACGACTTCCTTGTTGTGTACCACCAATCGGTCCTTGGATGATAGATGGGTTCGTTGTAACTTCCGAGGCATCGTCTCCATAACCAATCTCGGGCATTGGATCATGCATGTCTGGAAGACCACTTGCCGTCATCTTAGGGTGGTCAGTCATTTGGCTAATTTCACTAAGATTATCGATGCTGTGTCGAGGAGAAGAAAGTCGTTGACCATCCATTGTACGATCTTTGAAAGACTTCTGTAATGGTGCTCCGGTATCTTCTTTGCGTTCCTCGTACTTGAGATTGTCTGCATCATTATTGTTGTTATTGTTCATCATCCTTTCACGTGCCTTTGCCAATAGTGCAGCAGCAGCAGCTCCCAGAGCACTGGTTCCAAGTTTCTCGTTGGTATGTGACTTTGGCATCTCAACCTTTCTTCCATTCTCATCAAGATCGTACTCCTCGTCATATTTTGTAGGGCTCTGTGACTTCACCGGGCTATTGCCGCGGCTTGTGAAGTTTCTCTCGGACTCATCGTCAAACGATTCGTAAGAAGCTTTACGGTTGACATGGCTGTTGCTTCCAGGGTATGAATTAGTACCAGTGAGTTCAGAGGCATTAACCAACGACGCGACATGTGATTCGACTCCTAGAGGTGTGTTGACAAAGTCTGGCTTTCCACCAACACCTTTAATATTCTGACCAGCTGAAATATCTCGGGCATCGAAGCTATCATTGGTATAGTTCGTCAATCGTTTATTTTCAAGACTCAATTCGGAATCAAAATCTCGATTTCGATCGTTCTCTAGGTGTTGCTCGTCCCAATACTGACCATCCCCATCTTGAGTAAGCTCCGAGTCAGATAGTCCACCTGTTCGAACTTCCGAAAAGTCATGACGATTCTGAGGATTATTGATGGAATCAAGTGACTTCATGGACTGATTATGTTGAGCTGTCTTCGCCAACGAAGAGTATGATCCCGTGCTCTGTGTCAATCTAGAGTCTCGTTGATTATGGGGTGGGCCGTCTTCGTTCTCGGTATATCCCGAGACGCTTTGGATTGGACTCAAACCACGTCTTTCGTGACCGTAAGGAACGTATCTGAGTGGAGGTGGCACTTCTTGGGTGTTCTGGTAGTAGGGGTGTTGTGGCTCGGCTTCAAGTATCTCTGAGTCTTCATCATCAGGAATATCTTCTTGATTATGATGGTCAAGTGCCGCCAAACCGGCACCGGTGACGGCACCCGCCAAACCAGCATTGACTGCATTGACTGCATTCGAGTGGCCCCCATTATGTTCTTCTGATACCATTGAATCATCGAGATCAGGATCATAAAATTCTCGCATCGGTACTTTTCTTCCAGTCTCATCCAAGTCGTATTCTTGATCACGTAGTTGCTGTTCACTATTTTGACTATGAAGACTAAGGTTTCCTCGTGAGAAATTGGAATGCTGAGTACCTAAGCCTTGTTGTAGATTGATCGGTGTTCGAGTTGGCGTTCGGGAGGCTGGAGATGTAACCTCTTTCCGAGCAACTACCTCTTGAATGGGAGTTACACGTTGTGAGCTAGCGGAATGAGGTCTCTCGGATTCAGCTGACAAGATCGAGGTTCTGGTGATGTCTGAAGGATTGATCGCGCTCATAAGTGGCATAGGGGGCGCTAAATCAAGACGATCTCTTTCTTCAGTAGGTGAGAGCTCGCCTCCTAAGCTATTGCCACGGCTGTGATTCTTCCTTCTGCGTCGTCGCTCTTTCTTTTCGTCTATCACGGATTCCTGTGATTGATGTTTCTGTAGAGCAGCTGCTGTCAAAGCACCAACTCCTGCGCCCAAGGCAGCCGTTTCGAGACCTCGACTTTTCTTCTTTTTCACCTTTTCATCTTGTGTGACAGTTTCTTCCGATTCGCCTTGCTCAAAACTTCTTGGGGAATCCGAGTCCCTCACACGGGCAACATTTTTGTCTCTTCGACCCTTTGTGGAATTTCCCGATATAACCTCTCCATCGTTAAGAGTAACCTTGGGTCCCCCCGAAATGCTCGAGATACCACTTCCGACAGAGCTTCGACGTTCCGTACGCTTACTTGATTCTCTCTTCAATGCTGATAATTCGGGTAAGATCAGACGACGGATGGCATCCTCGACAGTCTCCAGTAGCTTAGGATTGTTGATGGAAGAATTCTTGGAGGCTCCAGATCTGGCCGAATATTTGTCGGAATTGCGACTGACTTGTGAATCTAGAAGACCTGAATCGGCTCCGGACATTAAAGATTCTTCAGCTTGGCTTCGACTTGATCTTCTTCGTGGCGACTTGATTGATTCTGTAAGCTTATCACCACTGACACTTCGACTACGGCTTCTACGTTGTTTTCGTCGATGTTCTGACCGATCACCTCGGACCTTTTCCATCGCCTTTTGTGCCACTATTCGTTCTCTGCTCAGACTTCGACTTCGGCGGCGCGAAGGTGTTCTTAATTTCTCCGAGGCAGCACCAGCAGCCAGGCCGGTAGCCGCTGCAGCGACCAAAGGTTCACCTCTTGTCAAACTTCGGCTCCGTCTTCGTTCTGGAGATTTTGTATGTCCATCGAGGAAACTGTCGGCGGGCATAGATGATATCTCGGAGGCATTGTACAAAGCACTTTTCGATCCTAACTCGGTGGGTATCAGTGGACTGCCATGTCTCATTATCTCGACGTCGACGGGTCGTCCACCACTCCTCGAGGTGAGGTTGGATTCTTCAGTTGTGGATCGGAAGGAGCTCATGCTGGCCTCGTCTTCTGGTGCAAATGGTCTATTCTCCTTGCTGACATTCGATAGTGAGATGCGCTTGGTATAGGATGGCCTTCGAGAACCTTTTCTGGATTCCGTAATCTGAATATGGTCATGAGCTGACTTGCTTCGGTGCTTCGATGATGGTGTAACTTTGACACGAACCGATGGCCTCCGACTTCTATCTTCTTTTCCACCTTCAAAATACTCGATCAACAATGAGGTTTGTGACTTATTGTTTGATAGACTACTAAAAGTTTCCTTATCGTGCTTCTTCTTCTTTCGAGTCGCTATAGTGACTGGAGCACCGTCGTCAGGTATAGTGTATGTACTCTTCTCCGTCAATCTCGAACCTAGCTCCGTTTCTTCGTTCTCGTTTTCGGCGTCACTGTCCGCAGTGCTTGTTTCCGTTGGCGCAGGTAGAGGGGGAGCTCTTGATTTTTTCGATTCGACACCCATTATGATGACTCCTCACAATTCGGATAAACGAATGGAGGGATACATCAGCGGTAATATGAATTGTAGAACGTTTGTGTAATGTACAAAATGCCGGTGAGAAAGCCGACGAAAAGATGAATTGAATTATTCTCGAATGCTGGTTCGAATGCTGGTCCTCAGCCCCAAAGATACAGCTGAGGCTTTTCCCTCTGCAGACGTTGTAACCCGAATCACTTAAGAAAAAAAGAAAAGGAGTGAATCAAAATAATGAATTCAAGAAACCAATGACCCTCTGCGGGATATTTCGAGGATGATAGGAGTGATTGAAGCTCTATTATTATGGGGTGAGTTTAATCTTTCTTTCGAAACAGGTTGGAGGAAGTAGAAGTTGTGCGTTGGCGATTTTGTTCATGCAGCTTGATTTGTTTTGTCTAACCAATTAAAGAATGAGTTGATGTGATAAAATATTGGGGTAAAAAGGGTTTCTACCAACCAATTAAATTATGAAGCTGTCAATTTACTTGATAATTGATCAATAGGATGATTGAAAGACAAGGTTAGGTAGTTTGATTTACGACCGAGTATTATTTCGACGGATGAGAGAGGTGAGGGATGGAGGGATGAGGGATGAGAGATGAGAGATGAGGGATTAGAGGTGAGAGAGGTCAAAGTGGTAGAGGCGACAGAGGTGACAGAGGTGAGAGGTTACAATAAAGCCATTTCGAAGGGGTTACAACTACTATTACTGGGTTACGTTACCGCCCTTCAAGTATGTATTTCTATCTACATTTAAATTGGTATGATTGAGTTACCGGTGTTGATCCCACGGATAGTCTAACTAAGAAAGTAGCTAGGTATCTCGTCCTATTGAATTGGAATCATCACTCACCCCTCTCTATCTTTTTCACCTACTCTACTCTTTGTATACTATAGTATACAGTATACAATATTTCCCATAAAACATAAAACAAGGCTCTCACCACAAATCCCCCCCCCTCCCTTCCCTCCTACCTACCTACCCAACCTCCAACCTCTCATCAATTCCCAGTATCCAGTATGCAAGAATCCGAAGAAGTACAACCTACCACGAGCAATTATGAAAATGAGGGGCACAGCCATTTCATACCCATACCCATACAACCACCCACACACAACACGCAACCGCCCATACAGCCAACCCAAGCCAACCATCTCTCATCGTTCCTATCTGTACCCCATTGTACCCTTTTCTCACAATATAATCTAAATCCCGTTCCATATCATCCATCGTACGGAGCGGAGCGTACATTGTACAAACGAAATGAAATAGATAATTCGAGATTCATCTTCCAGTACCATTTCTAATGTACAATTATGAATTCCAAACATTGATTCGTACACGGTTGTATTCCCAACCTCCGATTTTTGTATCACAGCCATCGACTTTATTCATCCTTTAGGGCAGCTGGGTTTTGCAATTGGTACGAGTACCTTTAGGTACCAACCATCCTATCCTATGAATAAAAACAATCAATCAATCAAAGCCATGGCTGATTAGTAAGTGTTGAGTAACCTTAGTGTCCGTATAGCATTAGTTAGAATTCAACACTCAATTCGTGTACTGTATAGAAATCTGTTTTTGTGACAACAGGCTAAACCGAGTATTGATGAGAAACATCAGTTTCAGTTTCACAAGTTCCATCTGTTGCAGTGAAACAGATGGCTGGAAACTTAATTTCTTGACTTGTGGCTGACTGCCCGAGATATGTTTACACTTGAAGCTTATAGCTTCTTACCTCTTGAACCTTTGGTCAAATGGTATGGTTAGTATGGTATAGTATGGTATGGATGGCAGAGTGGTGTTTGTTTTGAAGAGCTATCTAGGTACTCGAATGAAGGAGGTTATATGAGTACTCGAGTAGTATAAATCATATAGCTGGGAATCAGGAAAAGTATAACATTGATTCAGGAGCGAATCTATTGTGCTCTCACGATGATCTTCCTTTCACCAGACCGGTACTCTACTTTGTGCTTGAATACATTTCCTTTCCTTTCCATTCCAAGTAAGTACAAATACTATACCGGTACTCATAATCGCAAGCGGTATCTTGAAGGTGTTCCTACTTTCCTCCCATTTCTCTTCATTGCTGTTACCCCGCATCACTATTTACTGTTTGTTATAGAGCTCTGTTGAAGAGTGATACCTAGGGGATACTTAGTCCTCTAGGCACAAGTTAGAGAATGGCTAATACTGTATAATTACATGCATTTTTTACTTTACTTCTCGTTTATCTTCATAGGATCTTTGCGCTCACAATATTTGGGTGAAAAGATGTTCTGATAATATGACTAGATTGATGGGTTCAAGCCTCCAGCAAAGGAAAAATGCAATCCATCTGAAAGTACAACAGACACCGGTTTCGAAATCACGAGTTGGGTGAGAATTGAGGAGTGTGGCGAGAAGGTATTATCATCTTTGATATCGGAGTATTTACTCGTAATATCAAAACTCTTCATACCCAAGCCGAATTATTCCTCTCGATATCCTATTTTATTTTTTATTATCCCATAGTCCCGAATCAGGATATTTGGGAAGGATATAACAGCTTATCGTTATGTATCCGTGAATTTCTAGAGTCTATATCTATTTTATACTATACTATACTACAAGTATACCATCATATACACCTTGCTTGGTGTTTTCACCTGGAGTCGTTTCTTATTAGGATCAAGAACTTTTGTTGCTTATCTGAACGATGGAGGTCTGGGTTCCTTACCACCTAGATTCTCCTCCACCTAGATACCACCTAGGTTCCGCCTAGGTCTCTCCTATATCCTCTTGTCACCTAGGTCAATATCTGTGGGTTTCCATACCACCTAGGTTATACAGATATGCAACAAAACTCTCTATATTCACAGATTCACCTCCTGATACTCTCACCCAAAGAACCAAAGAGAATTGATAGGCTGAAATTCTTAGTTGACTCGGAGAAATTTCGTTGTATATCTGAAAACTCAGAATATCTTGCTTTGCTTTATTATCTAGATAGTAGTTTTAGTAGAAATCTAGTAAATGAAAAGAAATTCTATACCGGTATTCAATCCTAGATTATATTAGACCACTAATAAGTATACCATGCATACCAGAAGCAGTTCCATATCTGCCGCACCCCTCTACTTTAGCCATATACCTACACGATGCACACAGCCATATGAAACGGTCTTCAATCGTCGCAAAGTCAGTATACTATACCTAATACCCCTCACAGCTTTGCAGTCGGGCTCTGGGAGTTCTCAGCAGATTGGTTGCGAGAATGTTATCTACTAAAGGTATTCTATCACCATTTTTATTCACACTTTTGGGCAATGGGCATGCGTTATTGGAGGCACTTCTTCATCACCATTACATGTCTCTCTTTCTCAATTGCATCATTCTTGGAATTTCGTACTATACCTCGAGTTATTCATTAATAAGATAAGCACTGCCAAGAGGATACAAACTTTTTTTTCAAGTATTTTTCAATAAGCTAAGATGCTATAAATTCCTTTAATTTCTTTTATAATATTTAATAATTATGAGTTTCTTTATTTTGGTTAGTCTTGGTATAAGATTCAAGTTCAATCACCGTGACTCATCTATATATAAAACTCGAAAGCCTAACCTCCTCTATCGTTAAATTCAGTTAGTCTATAACTCTATATCCTACTAGAATACCTAGATCTTGAGAGAACGAGTGTCTATCTTTCACTCGTATAATATCATGTCTCCTAAATACAGATGTGAACAGACGGTCTTAATAAAAAGTATCGTTACATTTAGGCTGCGCAACGGGTACCCGCGGGTCCTCCGTTTGCGGGGCGGATGATAGAAAAATCTGAATGGGGACCCGTTGGGTATCCGCTGCAAATACTCTGCAAATACTCCGCAGATATAAATTTTATAATATTTATAATTTTATAAATATTAATATAATATTAGTATAATATTAGTATAATTATAAAAATATATTGGTTTTTATATTAACCTTTATATTAATTACATTAATATTATAAAAATTAATAAATTTGCAGAGTATTTGCGGGGCGGATTATCTGCGGGTCCCCACGGGTAACGGAGTATTTCTGCGCAGCCTAGTTACATTATATCAAATCAGCTTGCTTTTCTCGTATTAGTACTCTTTTTTAATACAGTCAATGGAGATGAAAAGTATTGAGAGAGGGGAGAGGTGCGGGGAGGAGCGTCAAAGGATATATCAAAGTCATTATAGTATTAAAAACTATAATAATTACATAATTGAAAGGATAATAGAGCCTTAAGAATAGTAGAGCCTTTAGAACTTCTTGGTTATATAGTGTCAGTTCATGTCTTTGTCTTTAGAAATAATGATCATATCACTTTTACAACTCTAAACACTCCTAAGGTATTGTCACGGTACCTAACTTGATCGTAAGAAAACAACAATGTTTCTTTTCGAAGTCGGAGTGAAAATCCTTTGAGCTATACTATTTGTTATTGTTACAAAACAAAGCTTTCCTAAGTGGTAGCTGATAGTAGATTGTTTACTTGTCAGTATTAATTCTACAGAGTTTCGCTATCGCTAAGATTAAATATACACGGCAGTGAAGAATTATATTGATAACAAAACAGTATAGTATATAAAATGAAACTTGGGTTCTAATTCCTAAATGATATATATTGTATTTCTTAACTTTTAAGTATACTACTAAACCCAAACTTCTTGCCGCAAATCAGATGCCCAAGTATAATTCCCTTAGATCACTCACTATCTGCTTATAGTATGACTAAGCTTAGTGTACTTGTTTGGGGGATGTTAATTTTCTGAAGTACAAGGGCTTTTGTATCTAATTATATGTTTTCCGTTAGTGTAATGCTTAGAATAATTAGACTCAGACATGTTCAGAATGTACATGTGCATTCACAATACATTTAGTATTTTTAAAATTATTCACTGGATAAAAAATTACGCTCTATAAAAGTCACGCAATCTCTCTGATTCATTCTTTAGATTCCGAAACTTTTA